GCCATATATCTTTTCCTGTGATTCACTTGAGGTTATGGGTGTTGCCTACAAAAACTCAATTAAATGGCCTCCAAAAATCTCCAGGCTCTCCCATCTAGTCTGTTCTTACTCTTCTAGACTGAGGCAGGATTCCACGTCCTATATGAAAAGAAATTCTGTCCTCACTGAAACCCATTCACAAGATGAAAAGAAAATTGAACACTCCAAAAGAGTTGTAGCAGGCCATTTTTGTGGGTCAGGATGCTTTGTCTTTCCCCCAGGCCCCCTGGGAATGCTTAATTCTGCTTGCTTATGTAGCTAGAAGAGGATTTCTGCAGGAGCTGAGAGCTATTAACCCATTCACCAAAAATTTTCGCTCCAGTTTTCACAGGACAAGCATAAACAAGGCAGTGTGCAAGATTCTCAGACTCCAGCCTGATTGCTCCATGGGACTGGAGCTTGCTGCTCCAAAGCCAGAGATCACTGTCCTTCCCTCAGGAGCCCCTCTGGCTTCAGGAGATGCTGGGAGTGTGGCCTGCTGCCCAGTGCACCGCTGGGCAGGAAGGAACCACATTACACAGATACAGGGAATGGACAAGTGTCTAGTGAGAGGAAACTTGAAGGAGACAGAGAGGTAGTCCCTGATGGGAGAAGGGCAAAATACCAGGGTCCTGCTTTGAGATATGCTGGCTAGAGGCTGTTCCTGCACAGCCCCACTAGGCAAGACAGGTCTTTTGGGTTCTCCTTGCAGGTGAGTCTTCTCTCAGCTTGTTGCTTCTCCCAGATCTTTGCTTTCTGGGGCTGTGGCACCAGAGCCTGCAGAAAGCACGCAGGGAAGAGCTGCCTCTGCTCTCGGACACGTTCCACCCCAAAGCCTGCACCGTCTCCCTGCCCGTGTGCCCTCTGCGCTCCCTGTGCTCTCCATCCCCTCTGCTCTCTTGCCATGGCCTGGCTGAGAGTGAGGGATTTCCCAGAGCTTTCCTGAGTTATTTTTAGTAACTGCAATAAAGACGGCGGCTAGTTTGTGTTGCTATTTTTATAGCACTCATTAAAATGCTGTTGCTGAATATCCCGGTGGCTGCTTGCTTCTGCTTTTGTGCTGACTGCTCCTCTTCTTTCCTGTTGCAGCACTGAAAAGCCCATCTGCATTCCATGACCAACGAAAAAGTCTGGAGCGAGCCAAGGTAAATCCTGCACCCATTCTGTTGAGGGAACATGTGGGCTTTCTTTGGACAAGTTTGGAGCCAAAAACACCTACCAGCACTATGTCCTTCTCTGGCATCCTCCGTCTAGGCTCTGTGGCCAAGGAGGAGAATTAGAGACTCTAATTTGCTTCTACACGTGGTGGGGTCAAATCAGGGTTTATATCTACTAAGATACACCTTTCACCAGGCAGCAGACATTTAAAAGGACAGAGAGGCCATCTGTTCCCAAAGCCCTGGGCTGGGGAGTGCATCTGCACCTCTTGTGGCTCAGAGGACCTGCAGGGAAGGACAGAAATGCCATTTTCATGAGCTTTGGGGCTTGGTGACAGGGAGGAGAAACCAAAAAGCCCCGCAGGGCGCAGGGGGTTGCAGAAGCCCCTTGGTCATCATTCCCCGGGTTTTACAAGGGTCTGTGGACAGGACACAGCAATATGGCATAGAGTCATAGATCATGGAATCTTTATGGTTGGAAAAGACCTTCAAGATCATCAAGTCCAACGATTGACTGAGCTTCCAGTAAAACACTGGCTGAACCTACTGTTGTTTTCTGAGCTAGGTCCACAGCCCGTTCCTCCCTGCACTGGTTGCTCTCTGCTCCTCCTCAAGTCTGTGAGATTAGAGGACAAGCAGCAAACAGGATGGGAGCCGAAGTATTGAGCAGGCGTCCAGGAGGAATGTGGATGCCCTTTGTCAACAGCAGCAAGTCCCCTGGGAATACTATTTGGCATCTAAGGATAGGCTGCTTTTAGTTGAGCATCCCAGCTTGGTCCTTACGTGTCTCAGGGGCTAAGCGGGCCAGGCTTCCACCAGCTCCTCTATCTAACTGTGCTCAGGCTTCCCTAGATACTAATGAAGGCAGAGATAAGATAAGTCACTTCCAGAACACATCGAAACTACTCGTGATGTGATCACTTTCTGGGAAGTCCTGAGGTCTGGAGCCATGTCCACACACATCACTGCAAAGGGATCGGTCACGCAGGTTCTATTTGAACAGAAGATTTTGTTTCATTAATCTGCAAGACGTGCTTGCAAACACACAGAAAAACTTTTTTTTTTACAAGGAGGAGTGACTGTGAAATATGGAGAAGTGCTCTTCTGAACTTAAACACACTCCAAGTCACTTGCCCTGAGTCTCCTGCAGTAATAAATGGCTAGCATAAGAAACACAATACAACTCTGAAAAATTAACATGCTTAGAAAATTTCAAGCAATCCAGAGTATCCTTGAAGTGTCATATATTTTACAGTTTAAGTATACATTTGTGTCTCTTGGTCTTTCCTTCAAAGGCTTTCACTGGCTGGTTGCCTGGGGAAAAGGGAAGGATAGGCTGGAGTATCTGAAGATGCCTGAATTTTCAGAGCACGCTAACAAACACGCTAATGAGCACAGGGCTTAACAAAAACATACTCCTTTGCAAGGATACCCTGGTTAGAACTGTGGAGGGAAGGAGCAGCAGCTGTTCCAGATAACCATGCAATAGCATTTGCTTTTTCAGCTGATACCTCTCCAGCTTTATACGCTGCAAAAAGAAAGCAGATAACAAAAATTGCTTTCATGTATTTTAAAAGCCCGCTGCTTCAGCTGATGCTGAAAAAAAATAAAAACACATCTAAGGTTGTCCTCCACCATTTGCAGAAATGCAGCTTCTAAACAGGAAAGGTCAAAAGGAACTCGCATCACAGCAGCAAGTCAGCCTAACACAGTGTGAATACTGGGTTCAATATGCTGATACCACATCTGTAGGACAGTAATTCAAACCCAAGTCAGGACCTGACCTGCGGGTTAACCAGAAATGCATTTGGTGAATTTAACCAATGATTTGAGTGCAGACACCAGCTAGCCCTGACCTGGCAAGGAAACCAGGCAAACCTACACATGGTCCAAGCAAGGGATTGTGTTGGTGAAAATAAACTGGGGAAAAATGGGGGGAAGTGTAGGAATTGCAAAGACTTCAGTAAATAAAATGTCTTTTATTTGTTTAAACATGTCACGGGCTATTTAGGAGGCTGGCATGGGGCCAGCTCAGCAGACTTTGAAGTCAATGTCCTGTAACAGATTGCGGGGTTGGAGGACAGAGAACAGGCTGGCTCGGAGAGGCCGTCTGGCTCGGCAGCCTTGGCACCGCTCCTAGCGCTGCAGCGAGCGCGGGGCCGGCACCGCGCGCGCGCCCCACGGCACAGCGCCCCA